AGGAATGTAGTTGTGCGGAGAGCTACACGTACTCGTAGCTTAGGCACCTGTTAGATAACTAAATTGAGAGGTGTAAATCCCCCTTGGTGCAGCATTTCCTGTTCGTTCCTTTTCTTGGATGCAGCAGAGAAGCTTGATGTTGTGGAACTTGGAGTATTAGCTGATTATACTGAGTTAAAAAGTATAGCCAGGCAGAGTGCAGTGTCTCATGGAATAGATTTTTTTAAAGCTGTCACCTATTATGGCCACTCAGGAATATGTTTGGCCACCTAGAGGTATAAAATTTTATTTTCTATTTCTTAAAACTGTGGTTTTTGTATAAAAACTTTCCTATACAATACTGAACTTGTATCTAATGTCTTGAGGTAAACTTGTGTCTTGCAGGATATAATAATGCTAACTGAGATCTGAGACGTTAGTTCTTCAGAGGGTTAACCCCTAAGTTTGCAGAGGAACTTTAAGGCAGATGTTAATCATATTCTTATTGATAAAGAGAATTTGGGATTGCAACTAATAAATATCATAAAATACATAGAGTAAGAAAATAGATCCTCAAATCTATTTTCTGTTGTTAAAAGTGCAGATTTTAAAGAAAGGAACTCAGTGGAAGACAAAACAGTGTTTTACCATCTGTAGAAACTAGTTTCAGTTGGGGAATACCTCGTTTTTGTGAGGCACAATGTGAAATGTAATACATTTGGTGACAACCAAAAAGAGCCAGAGACACCTCAATATTTACTTAGTGGCAAAGCAATATCCTGTTTCTCATAGTATTCTTGTTACTCGTTATTTATTGTATTAGCACAGAAATTTAGAGTAATTTTCAATACGAAAAGTTCTACATTTTCACATATTTAAACAAGTCAGTTTTCTATCATTTGATGGATTGTGGTGTATTTGCTGTGCATGCACATCTACGCTGACGCAAACACACCTGCGTTACGAGTAAAACTAATTTGTCCCCTTCGGAACAGCTCATGCTTGTGGAAGGAAGTCCCTGTTGCAAAAGGCATCGTTCTGGAATGACACTGCAACATGGTATATATGTGTGGACAGGATGTATCCAGTATTGAAAGCCCTAAGACTATTAACTGGGGGATGTCTTGTATTATTGATTTTTTTTTTTTTTTTTTTTTTACTTGAAAGGGTTTTTTGAGGGAGGCAGGGCAGGAAGGAGGTTAAATTCTAAGGCAGCTACTTAGAATTACATGAATATTTTTTTTCCAGGTGGTCTTGGTCTGTCAAATATCATGTATGCCCGTCTGGGAGAAGTCATTTGCTTAGATGGATCTATAACGGTTACTCTGGCAGCTCACCAAGCTATTGGGCTCAAGGTAACTTTCTTCTTTCCTGTCAAGTAGTTCTGTGCTTACATAAAAAGGTGAAAGGAAGTTTGGTGAAATACAGAAGTAGGTGTGGTAACTAGGCATAACATGTAAGAAATATCTGTGAAGCAAAATTAGGTGCACTGAATTCAGGTGGGTCCTTAGAGTGTCTAATGGCCTCTGCCAGTGGTCCAGTGTAAGATTTACCTGCAGCGTAAAGGTTGAGCCTGATGTATACAAGAAAATGGTTAATCCAAGATGCATTAGATAAGAATTCTTAGAGGAAGTACTTTTAAGCCATCCAAAGTTTTGTAGCCTGAACAAGCCTGATATGCGTAAGAAATAGTTGTGCAGGTGTAAGAATCATAGAATGCTTAAGGTTGGAAGGGACCTCCAGAGGTCATCTAGTCCAACCCCCCTGCACACGCAGGGTCACCTAAAGCACGTGGCACAGGGCTGCGTCCAAGCGGGTTTGAAGATCTCCAGAGAAGGAGACTCCACAACCTCTCTGGGCAGCCTGTTCCAGTGCTCTGTCACCCTCACTGTTAAGAAATTTTTCCTTAAGTTCCTGTGGAACTTTTGGTGCTTCAGTTTATGGTCGTTTCCTCTAGTTCTGTTGGTGGCCACCAGTGAAAAGAGGCCAGCACCATCCTCCTCACTGCCTCCCTTGAGGTACTTGCAGACACTGCTCAGGTCCCCTCTCAGCCTTCTCTTCTCCAGCTGAACAGGCCCAGCTCCCTCAGCCTCTCCTCATAGGGCAGATGTTCCAGGCCCCTGATCATCCTCGTGATTATAAAGGATGGGCGGTCTCTTTGCCTGAGCCTTTCAGAGAAGCAGCTGAGTCTTCAGTTACAGTGCTCATGTAGTGAAACCCACCCTAGAAGGCACTTCTGGTATTTACCATTTCCTATTTTAGTGCCTGGTAAGTATAACCTTATCAGATAGTAAATTAAATCAGACATCATTTATTAAACTCTCTTAATATTACCTGGTTATGCCATATAATCTACAAAGTAAACTTCCTGAACTTGGTGTAGTTTGTCGGCTTAATTTCTTTTCACGCATTTTGGTTGCTGAAAAGTTTCATACTAATTTCTTTATTTAGGGAATTCTCATTGCTGGCACTGATGAACAGAAAGCGAAGTACTTGCCTAAATTGGCATCTGGAGAGCACATTGCAGCTTTCTGTCTCACAGAACCAGGAAGGTACTCTTTTATAATCATAAAAATCTGAGGAATACAAACACTATATATTTTTTAAAAAACTTAATTACAGTGGTTGGTTACTGTATTAAATCTTTGCTACTTTTGAAAAATTCTTAAAAACCCCTGCACTAATAGTGAAGGAGCCACCAAAAGTAAGAGGAAGAAATTTTGATCTTCTCTTTGGGTTTAAAAAAGGTATTTTTGTAGTAGCAATTTATTTTCAAAGATAGAGTTATTTTATGAAGCTTATTTATTGACCATGCAAATTGTTTTAATGCATAAAAGATGCCTCTTTTTTAAAAAAATGTCAGTGGTTTACTGTGTGATTGTTGAAGAAACCGATTGAAGAAATTTGGATGTCGGATGTTGAAACTTATCCATACAAAATTAACAGCTCAAAACATTTTTAAACTTTTGTCATCTAGAATGACTCACAGTGGTGAGATGTATGAGCTGACTGCCTTGTTGTGATGAATTAGAAACCTCCCAGCCATTAGTGTTGGCTTTTATTTGTCATGTGGCAGAATTTTGACCTACCCTCTAAAATCTATTTGCAGCTAAATTTCCTATTAGCATAGACGTTTTAAAGAAGTAATCCATGTAGATGGTTCTGAAGTGACACAAATTAAAGTGCTTGAAGTACTAACCATGTTCTGAAGCTCTTTTAATAGCCTTATTTAGCTCAATTTTGTTTTTAAAAAGTCTTAATATCTTTAGTTTTCGCACATACCTTAGTTCTAGCACACAGTAGTAGTAGTTTTGGGAGCTCACTCATGGAAGCTTTTTGAAAAATAACTTAGATCTTTTAAACTAGATATGTTTTAGGATAACATGCTCATCATGTGTTTATATATGTATATGGCTCAGCTCAGCAAAATTTCTTATATTGCAGTCTAGGAGGTTCTAATCAGTCAGGTAACTTAACTAGATTTCCAGCAAGTTTCTAGATTTAGCAAGTTTCCCTCTTACTTAAGAACTATAATTTATATATCACTGTTTAGTGCAATCATAAATGTCCATTTTACAGGATGGGAAGAGGGATTAAACTGTTCTTCTGACTTTTGAAGCATATTTGTTTAATCATTAACAACTTTTCTGGCTTTTAGTGGAAGTGATGCTGCATCCATCCAGACAAGAGCAACCCTCAGTGAAGATGGAAAATACTTCTTATTAAATGGCTCCAAGGTATTTGCTCACAGAATGAACATAGGACTGTTTTCTGTTACAAGTTCTAGAGAAAATATTTTTGTCTTTTGCAGCAGTGCAGTTAGTTGCTTTTGCTAAGTAAGAGGTTGGCCTAGGAGCTGCATCAGGCTCTTGGGAATTGCAGTCAGTTAAAGCTCGTCAGTAAAGACCAGGTCAAAATGAGTCATGTCATTTTAAGATTAAAGAGAATAGAAAAGCATCCATCTTGGGCATAATCTTCACTAAAGTCCAGGTGAGAAAGGTAGTAGGGATGTGCTAGAACAAACAATGGAAAGTGCACTCTTAAAGATGTGCACAGATGCAGCGGGTTTGACAGCATTCGATTCATTACAGACTTAATCTGGGGTTGTTGGTACATTTGTCTGTGATATGAAAAGACCCAAGCTGTGAGAGAGGCCCTGTGGATGTGCCCTGATTTAGAATATTTTTCCTCAGAGATGAAATTAAGCAAGATGGGACTGCAGTCTTTTACTTAGGTACTCACATATGTTAAATAAAAAGATAAACATTTGTGAGAATACAACTTACATTTTATTTCAGTTTAAGTCAAATATAATACAATCGATTTTTACAGTTGTTCTGAACTTGCTTGTGAACTGAAAATGCATTAACAAGAGGCAAAACTAGTAAGAGAACAGCAATTAGAATTCAAGGAAAGAAGGAACAGTTCTTCACCACTCTGTTCCTTGTTGATGTCTGTTATGAAATGCTTAAGAACAGCGCTTACAGAACCAGAATAATTATGCTTCCTTCTTTCTGCTCTCAAACAGGTTTGGATATCAAATGGTGGCATCGCTAGTATTTTCACAGTATTTGCTAGAACAGAAATCGTTGATAAAGATGGAACACGGAAAGACAAAATTACTGCTTTCATTGTAGAGCGAGATTTTGGTGGAGTCACCAGTGGGAAACCTGAGGATAAGTTAGGCATTCGAGGATCCAACAGTAAGAATCATTTAACAGAAATTGTTTAAATATTTTAATGTTTTAATTTTGTTTAGATATTTAGGATTTGCAATCCAATTAATATCTATTCCATATAGCTGTCTAATGCTGATATTTCTTTTCCTGCCTTTTCTTCTGTAGGGTCAGAAATAAAAAAATCCATATTGTATAACCCCTTTCAACACACTTTAAAATTCTGTAATCATGCAGTGAAACAAGTTAAACAGAACACTGAGTAACCAAGTAGCTTTAGTCTAGGACTAATGTGAGGTTCCTTAGGTTCTTTTTAAGTTTCCTGATGACTGTAGTGCTTTACCACCTGTCATTCATATTTGACTGGGGTATCCGTTCCATAAAACAGGGATTTGAAGGCTATCATCCTCTGTTTGCATAATGTAAAAATTCCAAAATGTAAATTAATTTACATCAAAAATTGGAGCCAACTGTGGTTAGAATTCTGTCTTCTTTGGCAAAGCCCTTTAGTTCCATCATATGCAGAATATTTAGGAGAACTGCTTATTGCTACAAGAAGAGCCAGTTACATCCTGATGACATTTAAGTATGTCTGTGTAATAGTTGAACTGCTGTTTATTGTCTTTCAGCATGTGAAGTACATTTTGAAAACACAAAAGTGCCTATAGAAAATGTTATTGGTGAAGTAGGAGGGGGATTTAAGGTAAGCTGTGAAGGGTAACCACCGTTAATATTAAAAACCTGAAAGAAACTTTTCTTTATTCTGCACTGATGCTTATTTGGTAGCACCAACACTGAGCAGTATTAGAGGGCTTATCTTATGTGCTTTATCTTAATTGGTTTCACTGGTGTAGTGTGAATCTCAGATTTGTGTCTGCTTCTTCCTAATACTTCAATTATAGAGCAAGTTTTGCTATTTGATCATTTTGAGTTTTTTCATTTGAACCTTTCCAAGCTCCCAGAAGACTGGAGCATAAGGTGGTTTTCCAGGATCAGATGATAGTACAAGAAATACCGGGAATGCGCTGAAAGACTCCCTGCACCACTGATTTCTCGGTGTCACGTCAGCGAAATGGGAAACTCTGTAAAAATCACGCTGTTTGTTTTGTTATCATGAGCCTTTTCTGCAAGTCTGATGCACATTTTTACAAAGTACCTAATAGCCCTTCTCAGCTTTGTGTTCTTGTGTAGTCAGCAACTCCAGATCTACATATTAATTAAACTCTTTCATTTAATATGGTAAACAGAGCTATATATGTACAGTTTCTTTTTCAAGTAATTTTCACGAATTAAAAGGTGAGAACAATTATTTCTTTCTATAGTTCTTAATAAGTCTCATGCATTGAACTGAATCCCGTTTTTCTCTTGTTAAGAAACTCCTAAATTTATTTTCGTACACAGTGGGTCTGCATTTCATCTATACACCTTTCGTTCTTGCTTTCCTTTCTTGTGTGGTACTGGAAGACTCAGCAGCAGAATTTTGACAACAGGGAAGTGATGTTTCAGGCAGAGAAAGAGACAGAGGTGGGAATGAAAATAGTCATCTATAAGGGAGAAGTTAGTTCTTACGGCTGCATCTCAAGATGTGTAGCATATGGAGAAGAGAGCTGAAGGAGGAAAGCCTCTATTTACAGGTCAGCTCCAGAGGTGGTTTCCATTTGAATGTTGGGTAAGCACATTTAGCAGAAATTTATTTTTCTTACTGCTTTCTTTGATGAATCTCAGCAGTGTTGACTAATTTGAATCTTGCAGATAAGTAAATTTTTAACCTTACTTTAGTTTGAGTAAAGGGTTACTCCAAGGTAACTGGGTCATCAGTATCTCTGTAACTATTTCAAGTAATAAACTGAATCTTGTAGATCACCTTAAATACAGGGGTTTTTTAATCGGTATTGCTGGCAGGCTAAATGATGTATTGACCAGTTTGAAGACCAGTGTCATAGGATGGAAGCATATCCCAGTGATGAATGAAATCCAGGAAAGCACTGAAGTAGGAATCATCCAGACCTCAGGAGAAGTGTTGTGGCAACAATGTTATCTTTTAAAAAAACTATTAATTTTCTTAACAGATTGCCATGAATATCCTAAACAGTGGAAGATTTAGCATGGGCAGTGTGTCTGCTGGAATTATTAAAAAATTGATAGGTGGGTAAAATTAAGCTTTCTGAATTCTGAATGCCATGCAAAAAAAAAAAAAGGTGCATGAAGCATATATCAGAGTTTGTTCAAAATAATGACTAGTCTTGAGCAACTTAAATCAATATTTTAGTAATATAAATAATTTTAATAATATATGTTTTAATGTTAAAATGTTTAAGAAGTGTTGTTAAGGCCTGTAAAATACTTAGAAGCTAAGTAAGGCTTTTACAACATGTACTAGGAATGATAAAGCAGGAATAGTTTAACTGAGTGGTTTTTTGTTTTTTTTTGTTTTTTTTTTTTTTTTAAGAAATGACAGCAGAGTATGCTTGTACAAGGAAACAATTCAATAAGAAACTGAGTGAATTTGGATTAATTCAGGTAGGTAAAAGAAACCTCAAAACCTCAGGCAGTGCTTCATGTTGAGTCATCATCATGGTCACAGATGGATCATGCTGGAGATCCCTGTGTTACTGTTTAAAAGAAATTATTAGAGCTAGTGAATTTGTGTAGCTTTAGTGCTGCTCTCATGTTATAAGTCATTTGTATACACTCATTTTTATAAGTCTGGAATGATAAATGTATCATTTTTAAGATTTTAGTCTGATGTGCAGTATGTTCTTTTGAATAATATTTGAAAAAGCACATACAACAGTAGTTGTGCTTTGAGCTTCAGAAATGACTGGACTGGATGAGTTCTTGGTATTGGAATTATGTCTGATTTCTTTCATCTGTTCTCGCTGCCGTTTGTCAGGAGAAGTTCAGCCTTATGGCCGTGCAGGCGTACGTCATGGAGAGCATGGCCTACCTCACGGCGGGAATGATGGACAGGCCGGGCCTTCCCGACTGCTCCGTGGAGGCCGCCATGGTCAAGGTAACTTTACAGAAAGACAGGCTGAGGGCATTAAGCTAATACAGACAAATGTCCTTTTTTTTTTTTTTTTTTTTTTTTTTTTTTTTTTTTTCCTCCAGCATACCTTATAGATTCCTGAGAGACTCAAGGATAGCATTTAAACACATGACACAAAAACTTGAGCTACATAAAAAAAAAAAAAAAAAAACACCTGCAGCAGTCTCTTTTTCTTTATTTCTTTTGATACTAGAGTACCTCAGGTTCAGGCTCTTGTCATCATATGAAATAAAAACTAGATACGAGAAGTTTGGAATTTTGTGGTCTTCTAGAATTCTGTTTTTATGGAGTTTGAGATACTTAGGTTGGCAGCTAGCGATATAGGTGAGGAGCTTCAATCTTGGCTTTCTTTCAGACTCAGTTGCAAAATACATGAGAGAATAGGTAAGCAAGAGAGAATCATGCCTGCCCTTTCTACTGGAATGTCACTATTTAAAGCATTTCTATAACGCTGGGATGCTGCTGGCACCTTTAGAATTCACAAGGTTTCACCCCATCCCTTACTGTGTGGTCAGTCCACAAGAACTCATGTTCCCATAAATTTGTGGAGATGAACGAGCTCTAAACCACCAAAATCATGTTTTCTTCCTGTTTATGGCTTTGAATAACCTAGGAGCATTTCCTAACAGAGGAATTTTCACACATATATGTGTGTATGTATATATATGTGTGTGTGTGTATATACATATACATGTATATACATGTGTATATGTATATATATACACACACACACATATACATACTCACGTATTAGTGTGTGTGTGTGTATATATACACTTTTTTTTTTTTTTCCCCCCAAAAAGAGGCGCTTAGCTTGGGCTAAGGTATATAACCTGGGCCATAAGCATGCAACTTCAGGCAGGCTTTAAGCAGGGCCAGGGTAAAGGCATTACAGAATATTACAGCAATGTTATGTAGATAGAACTCTTTTATTAAATCTTTTGTGAGAATCTTTTATTCACCAGAGTAAGTAAAATACTATTTCATGCAGGTGTTCAGTTCGGAGGGTACATGGAGATGTGTAAGTGAAGCCCTGCAAATTCTTGGAGGCCTTGGCTATATGAAAGAGTATCCCTACGAGCGCTATCTCAGAGACAGCAGGATACTTCTCATTTTTGAGGCAAGTATGAATATACTCTGGTATCCCTTGGGATGCTTTCCACTTTGTAACCTGCCTTCTGTGTTTTGATCTCTATACAATCAATTGTATAATGGACTCTCAGATACCCAGTTGTACAGTATCACTTTAATTTTGTGGTTTCCTTTTTGCCTTCCAAACAGGCACACTGAAGCACTTTTACACTTATTTAATATGTTCCTTTAACAAAACAATCTAGACCTTATATTTTATGTAAAATATATTGAATAATCTTTCTTTGCAGTATTTATTTATGTCTAGTAATGACAGGCTCAACCTTTCCACAGACAAAAACGTTAAAATGCTATAATATAGTTACAGTATGACAAAGTGCACACTGTAGGTTTATGGAAGGATGAAGAAGGCAAGGTTTATGGATGGAGGAAGAAATTTTTGAATACTAGAAAAAAAAAAGAATAGGAAGACAAGCTGCAGATGTGCTTGGAAAGCATTCATTAATATTGTAAATTATTGCAAGTAGTTAACCAAAGAACTGTCTTCAAAATTATGCATACATGTGCAATAAAAACAGTGTTTGCTCTTAATATCCCCTAGCCTCTGCAGTCACGTCTTCTGCCTCCATAAGGTATTTAGCCAATAAAACCTATTTTCAGAAAAAGTTATAGAAAATACTAGCATAGCATATACAGATTTTTGAAATGCTAAAAATACTTTGTACCTAATACTGACTCCAACTTTCATCTTTATATTGTGTTTTCTGCAGGGAACAAATGAAATTCTGCGATTGTATATTGCTTTGACGGGTATGCAATATGCAGGCAAAATCTTAACTGAAAAAATTAAGTATGTCCTAATTTATTGCTAATAACTTTAACAAATTAAACACAAGTTGATAATTGTTTAGCTATAGTTAAAAGGCGAAATTATGTAGAAAAAAACAAAGATGCTGCTGCCTTAGAACATTAACATACAGCCAGGTTTAATTCCTAGCTCATTCTGAAAATTTTGCTTGGCATTCCTATATTCCTGAAAGGCTGTCAGTCGGGCCTCCTCCTTGTTGAATTGTCCCTAACTGTGACTACATTTTGCAAGCAAACAGTAGTCTGCACTCTGAAGGCAGTTAACATCTCCTTTTAAAGATAAGGCATCCTTGAATGAGGCTAACTATAGCCTATTAAAATTTTAATATAGCCAATTAAAATTTTAAAACTCCTTGGTCACTAGGAGAGTTCGTATTAGCATCTTTCACTGTAATTTGTAATTATAGTACCCTCCCTGCCTTAATTTTCTGTTACTGATGCTTGTGTGCAAGAAGACAGGGAAATGAATGTCCTTTAACAGCTGTTGTTTACTCAACATTTTAGAGAAATCAGGAAGGGCAATGTAGGAGTGGCACTGGGGGAATTCCTACGGAGATTCCAGGACGCAATGGGCAGAAAGGTGGATTACGGGCTGGTTGGTGAACGTGGAGTAGTGCACCCCAGTCTGCAGGTAAGTGAGGAGAAATACACTGCTTTATTCAGACATGGATCTGGGCTATTTGATTTTCTTCACTGTTGATCAAACCATTATATCCTGTTTATGTAAGACAGTGTATATAATTTAAGATAGAATTTTTAAGATTACATTAACATTTTGTAAATTTAAGATTTACAAAGTTAAGCAGCTGTCTGGAGGAGGAGCTGTCCTTCAGGAGTAAGGACTTAATTATAGATATTATATGCGTGTATATCAAGGAAAAAAAAGACTATAGGTACTTACACCAGGTTTATATACAATTTAGCTTCATAGTATCAAAATCTTTTAATGGTCAATGGCTTCATAAGCTGTGTTACAAAACACAGTGCTGTAAGTTCCAACTGTGTGTCTCAAGAGAAATTCAATCTTTTTTTGGTCATTCCTGCATCTTATTGACCCTTTCGCAACTGGCGCTCATTAAGTATAACACCCTCCCCAAATATGTTTTTTCTGCTTTGTAGGAAAGTGGCAAGAAACTTGAGGAAAACATTTATTATTTTGGAACGACAGTGAAAGGCCTGCTAAGCAGGTTTGGCAAGGTAACAATACTGTTATTCTGTTATCTTTGTTATTGAGTAGTTTTACCAACCAGACTGGCCTCACTAGCATCCAGAGTGGACTATATGGGGATGGCAAAATCTAAGAGTCCTTTTGCACAGTTCATTTTCATTGATCACGAGAAAACAAATTGAAACCATATACTCACTTTCTGAGATGAAACCTGTGTTTAAAAAAAAAAAAAAAAAAGAGCAGAAATCCTACCTGCTCCAGTGGCTACTTTAAGTACTTCACTGTAAGCAGTCATTGCATCCCATTTCTCTATTAGCAAATGAATAGGTATGCCACTAATTTTTAAATTCTACTTACTGATTCATGTTCCCCAGCAAATGACTCTATAGCATGCAAAGTGGAGCAGTTAGTTATAGTAAAGGGACTGGTATTCTGGATTTTCATGGATTAGAGTAGTTACCTGATGTGTTCCAAGAATACTCATCAAACAAGGACCTACATTATTGCACCCAAACTCTCAGATGTTTATAGCTATTTACTAAGTTTGGTACTTTACCTTGAGTAGTTTACACATTTACCAAAGAGCCTTGATGGCATGCAGTTTTTGGCTACAGCCAGAGACACTGTGAAAAGGTGGAGCCCACTTAATCCAAAATTTGCTGGATAGATGGTATCATAGAAATTCTATATAAAAATTAACTGGCTATGGTAAATAAATAGGAGTCTAAATAAACAGTATGAAAAAAGTTGGACTGAAGTTTTAAATGGAGAAAGTACAAGCTAATCTTTTACTCTTCTAGACAATAGTGGATGAGCAGCTGATTCTGAAGAAAGTGGCAGATATAGTTATTAATTTATATGCAATGACAGCAGCTATCTCCAGAGCGAGCCGGTCTATCAGCATTGGTCTGCGAAATCATGACCATGAGGTAAGTGTGCAGTATGTTAGATGCACCCGTCTAAAGTCTATAGATCACAAAGCTTAGCAATAAGTAATTATTACCATTTTTTTTCTTGCTAAATTTTTAGTATCAAGAATTTGGCACTAAACAGCCTGTGACTTTTCCTTGAAATGCTGCAGCCCACATTTTTCACATTCTTTCAACCAGCTACTCGACTAGCCTGTGTTTCTCTCAGTGCTGAGGCAAAAGATTTTTTTAAAAAACACATCTACTTAGGAAATTGTTTTTGTTCTCTTGAACCTGTTAACACCATGCAGTTCTTTCCAAATGCTTTTTACATTATCATTAATAAAAATGTGTTCACAGAGAAATGAGGAAGTTTCTGTCGTGATGGTAACTGCTTTGTAGCTCAAAGTTTTGTGGTAACGATTATATTGGAGAATAAGTACATTGCTACAATTAAGTATGTGACAAATCCAAACTAATTAACCTCAGTGTTTAATGATCTTGACACTTCAAATTTTTTGTGTGTTTATTGCAGAGAATGGCCTCTCATCAAGTTTTCAGTGAAGGGGTCATCCCAGCTGTGAGAGCCTACAGACAGGGGAAAAAAATCACAAGTGTTAAAACTTGCAGCATATATTACTAGATTACAATGTTCCATACCAAGAGAGAAAAACAAACTTTCAGAAGCTTAAAGTACTATATTTTTACTGCATTATTTTGTTTATAAAATCAAGGAACTAATTGTGTTACTCTTTTCTCAGGTGCTTCTTACAAATATCTTCTGCACAGAAGCATATTTCAAGAATAATTATGCCATAGCTCAATTAGAAAAATGTAAGTTCTATGAACTACTCTACTCTTGTGGCTTTCACAGACTCAAAACAAAACTAAGTATTTAATATTGTTATCAGTGAATCATTTTTGCTCTTCCTTTAATTGAGATGAATGACATAACTCGTACCTGTTGAATATGAACTCTCCTCTTTTGCATAGATAAACTGCTGTGATACTTAAGAGAGAGAGAGATCCCTGAAGCAATAAGGAGTATAAAATCTGACAACATGAAATCTTCCTCTAAAGAAAATACTAACTAAAAATAAGTCACTGTTTAAATTACTTCCTGCCCCTGAAGTTTAGATACAAGTATCTAATTGTAATTTAAACAGTGGCTTATACCATACTGGTATCTAAACTTGGACTCTGAAGTCCTTTTTGGAAAAAATTTAGGAAAGCTGTTTTCTGTACTTTAGTTAACTCTCGTTTTCTTTGATAGATGCGGACGAAAACCTGGATGACAGTATTAAAAAAGCTGCAAAGCAAGTGCTGGAAAAGAGAGTCTATATTTGTTCTCACCCACTGGACAGGACATTCTAATTAATGACAGCAAATGAACTGCAGAAAATTACTGTTCATTTACAATCATCAGGTTGTCATGGCGCCTTAAAAACAACTAATTCATGAGTTTAGCAATTATAATCAACTATAACTATGTAAAGTTTTCAAATCTAACTCTGTATAAAGAAGACTAATAAAGAAATTTTATTTAAATCTCCAGTTATCTTACTAGATATGTGTGTGTTTTCTTTTCTCTGGGCACCTGTTTAAAAGTTTATTCCTGTATCTTATCAAGAACTTCCCCACGTTTTGTTGTCACTTGGCACTGAACTCAGGTTGTACCCTGGCCCAGTTGCCTACTTCTTATTTGTTCTTTATAAAGAACATCTGCTTTGTTTAAAAAGAAATGTCATGGAATAAAGGACTGGTCGTCAACATTATTCAGATATGATATGTCATGACAGCTACACTTTTTTTTTCCTGTTCTCTTGTTAAATAATCTCCAAGTTAAACTTTGCATAAATTAGCTCAGTGTCATCCAGTGACAAGTTCAGCAGTTAAGCAACTGTTCCCAGCCCTTTAGGAAGTGTTTGCTGGCCAGATCACAGGAGGAAGTCACTGCTTTTACGTCACAGGTATACGTTACCACTCAGCTGTTGTTCATGAGATTACCTGCATCCAGAATAACCGTTGGCTCCATCGTATCATTCTGGAGCAGGTCCTGCTGTTGTGCAAGGATGTTAGAGCGTCCTTGTGCTGATCGTTTTCTCTTGTAAATAAATGAACGGTTATAGCAAAGCAGTCTGGAACAAAGATGGATATTAAGCTCTATCTTTGTAAAATTCATCCTTTCTAACAGCATTGCAATTTTTCAGTGAATCAAAGATGTTCACTAAACACCACTGAATCTGTAAAATTTGTTAGCCAAAAAGCTCTCTGTTTTTAGCAATTAATTACTGTGTCTATGTTACTACAGCCTAGTTGATCAACAGTTAGAGGCCCTGTGATTGTAAGTATGTAATTTTTTAACTCAAAGTGCTCTGCTGTTTACAGAGTACTGTGGGCTCCAGCTCTCCTTGCTGGCATCTTAGTAGTTCTGAACCAGAAAATACAAGTTTGGCTGGCTCACACCTCAGTTTCTGAGAGATGTAATTCTACCTTGCATTTTGCAGCAAAGACCAGATAGTAACTCATGCTTTAATGGCAGCAGGACATGGGCAAACAAATGGCCGTATTGACACAGGGAAGCTAATTAAACTTCTCTCCACATGTGGACATGGAAAAAAGCTTGACAGGATTCTGCATGCTCAAAGTTCTGCAAGAACTAAATAATTAAATGAAACAAAAAAGTATCTTAAAATATTTGAGTGGATGACTTAGCAAAGAGCAAGTACAGTGTTCATCACATGCAATACAAAACAATACACCAATAAACATTTTAGATTTTGCCATACATAATTATAATTCCACTGATGACTTAACAAGAAAGTTGTAGTTATTATCCAAAAAAACAGATCAGAAAGAAAATTAGAATTTTAATTTTATTTGACCTTTTTTAGTGATAACTTCCTAGTCATTTAATAATATGAGAAAAATACAAAAAAAAAATCATGAAGTCATTTGTGAATATTCACTTTGAATCATGTTTCCTGGACTAAAAACACCAAGGTGTATTTTCTCCAATGAAAAGTCTGGGACACTGCTGAAATGCCAGCATCTCCTAACTTAAACATGCACCAACACCAAGACAAATACTTAGCAATGACAAACCCTGCTCCTTCAGGCTGGAGTTCGACTTTCAGTAGGAATCCTCCTGAGAATTCCCAAGCTTTCTGCCCTAACTAAATAGTTTCCTTGGAATACAGTCTAAAAGTTATTTGTTATTGACCTAGTTATAACTTTATTTACTGTACCTCTTCATATGCATTATCTAAAATGATTTGGGGTTCTTCTCTAACATCCCCCCTACATAGTCAGCTCTCTAAGTTAGGGTCTCTTACCTGAAATCTGTGCCTTTGAGTTTTTCAAACTTCTTCTGTTCTCTGCTCTGGCAGGGGATTATGTTTTTGGTGCACTTCAAGCTGCGGTGGTCACTGAGGCGGGGTACAAAGCCACACGTGATGCTCTTCCGCTTTCCCCTCCCATCTGGACTGGTGTCATCAGGTTGACTGTCCAGCACCGACAAGGCTGGGATAGGCTAGGCAAGAAAACAAACAGCAGGATCAGGCAGTCGGTGTCAGCTCAGGTTAAAAACAAGCCAGGAGGAATGGCTGCCTATGCAGTAGATGCACGTCAGGTGCCCCTGAGCTACCATGTGAGTTGATCTTCAGGTGGCCTGAGCAGAAGCAGTTCCTGGACATGAGCCATTACTGCAGTAACAGTGGGGCGTAACTGGTACACTGCCAGCCAATTGATCAAACTTTTTCTCTTAAACATAAGGTTCTGGGCAAGGACAGATGAACAGAGAGACTTACCCCAGAAAGTCCACAGAATTTACTCTTTTACAAAAGAAAAAAAAAATAATAAACCTTTCCCCCCCCCCCCCAAAAAAAAAGTGAAGGTCTCTTTAAACAAAGCACAAAGTAAGAGCCTACTTTGCTTAAGATCCACTCCCACACACACTAATTACAATGATTTCAAGAAACAAAAGAGTCCCAAATAAATGGAGAAGAAAATCAAAGCTGCTGCATTATTTTATAAGCATCAATCCTACAACCTAATCACGAAGTTTGAAAAGCACTCAGCTAAACCAATTACTTACCGGCATCAGGTTTTATAAGCAAGTGAGACCAATAATAAATAAGAAGTCATTACTTGCAAGCTTCATGCTTCAAAAACCTTTATGATACAAGCTAGAAACTGAGGAAAATAACTCTGCCAGGTAATGCAAAGACTAAGCCCCTGTTTGGCTGAAGAGCTGTCACAGTGCCTCAAGCAAGTGTGCCTAACAAGTGCACAAGAAGAAGGTGAGCAGAAGTCACACTAACCAACAACCAGACGAGGTGACAGACGAGCCAACAGATGATTCCAATGGCAGAAGCAAGTGCCACCAACAAACCACGGCAGGTTACACGCGGGAATGGCAAAAGCAGCTTGGCTGAGCGAGAGGCCAGCTTGACACAGGTATGACAAGCCTGCATGGATTTAGAAAAGGTGGCTATTTTCTTGTACAGCGCAATAAATAAATAAATAAATAAATAAATAAAAACAGGAGCCTAGAACTATGCTGTTCTCTAAGCCTAAACACAAGGAATGTGAAACTTACATAGGGAACAGAAGCTGAAGCACCTAAGCGAGTGTTGCAGCAATACCAAGCCCTCCAAAGATGATGGGAACCAATGACCTAACACTGTGACCTACAGGAACCCTAGTCAAGCTGCCAGTAGGGGGAATTATATTGCTCACTGTGTGGAGGAATCCTTGGTACTTATTTAATAACCATCTCTGAGCTGCTGCCCCCGGGGCGGGGGGGGGGGGGGGGGGGTC